CTGGGAGGCAGCGGGTGGCTGGCTTGAGCCATGCCAGGTGCAGGGTCTGCTGGCTGGATGCTGGCAGGCTTGCACCTAGCATGGGCATCGTAGCCAGCCCGTGTCTCTTTAAGGGGTCCGGGGCCGGGAGGGGGGCAATAGAATTTCCCTGGTGTTGGCCAGAGTGGCCACCAGGGAAAGCTGGGGAGGGCTAGCCTCCCACTAGTTCGAATTAAGTGGCTACAGAGCCCTTAATTCGAACGACTTAATTCGAACTAGGCGTTAGTCCTCGTGGAATGAGGTTTACCTAGTTCAAATGAAGCACTCCGCTAGTTCGAATTAAGTTCGAACTAGCGGTTTGTATGTGTAGCGCCTATCAAAGTTAATTCAAACTAACGTCTGTTAGTTCGAATTAACTTTGTAGTGTAGACATACCCTGAGTTACAAAGAGATCGAGTTACAGCCAAGTGTTTGGTCCGTGACTTGTTCATAACTCGGGGAGAGGCTGTACTCTCTTAAAATTGTTGTCCAGCCAGTTATGCACCCCCCTCTTATAATAACCCCATAGAATCATAGAATCATAGGACTGGAAGTGACCTCAAGAGTTCATCGAGTCCAGCCCCCCACCCTCAAGGCAGGACCAAGCTCCGTCTACACCATCCCTGACAGATGTCTATCTAACCTGTTCTTAAATATCTCCAGAGAGGGAGATTCCACCACTTCCCTTGGCAATTTATTCCAATATTTGACCACCCTGACAGTTAGGAATTTTTTCCTAATGTCCAATCTAAACCTCCCCTGCTGCACTTTAAGCCCATTACTCCTTGTCCTGTCCTCAGAAACCAAGAGGAACAAATTTTCTCCTTCCTCCTTGTGACAACCTTTTAGATATTTGAAAACCGCTATCATGTCCCCCCTTAATCTTCTTTTTTCCAAACTAAACAAGCCCAGTTCATGAAGCCTAGCTTCATAGGTTTATATTTCCCTAGTTTATTTCCCTAGTTTATTTCCCTAGTTTATATTTCCATCTAGTTTATATTTCCCTAGTTTATTAATAAGAAGGTATTGAAAGAACGTATCAAATGCTTTACTAAAGTCTATGTATACTATGTCCACCACCTTTCCCCTAGCCACAAGACTTGTTATCTTATCAAAGAAAGCTATCAGATTGGTTTGATATGATTTGTTCTTTGCAAATCTATGCTGGCTGTAACCTATCACCTTATTATCTTTCAGATTTTTTCAGATGAATTCCTTAATTACTTTCTCCATTAACTTCCCTGCCATAGAAGTTAGACTAACTGGTTGTACTTTCCTGGGTTGTTCTTTCCCTTTTTTAAGATGGGCACTATATTTGTCCTTTTCCAGCCTTCTGGAATCTCACCCGACTTCTATGACTTTTTCAAAGATGATAGTTAAAGACTCAGATACCTTCTCTTGAGTATTCTAGGATGCATTTCTTCAGGCCCTGGTGACTAGGAAGCATCTAACTTTTCTAAGAACTTTTTAACCTGTTCTTTTTCTAATTGTACTTCTAAACATCCTTTATGATTTTTAGATCATGTAAGATCTGTTGGTTAAACCAAGGTGGTCTCTTGCCATACTTTCTATCTTTCCTACACAGTGGAATAGTTTGCTTTTGGGTCCTTAATAATGTCCCTTTGAACAACTGCCAACTCTCTTCAGTTATTTTGTTGTTTTGTCATTAACTCCAGTAGGAGTGAGACTGAACTCTTTATATTTGTAAAGAAAAAGGACTAAAGGCCCAGTAAAAAGAAACTTCACTCTAGCTCTTTGCTTTTAGGGGTACGTCTAAACTACATGGCTCCATCGACAGAGCCATGTACATTAGTGTACTCGAAAAAGGGAAATGAAGCAGCGATTTAAATAATCACCGCTTCATTTACATCAAAATAGCTGCCACGCTGTGACGATCAGCAGTTTGGCAGCACAGCGCGATAGTCTGGACACTCTTGCCCTTGTTGACCATCCCGGAAAACCTCATTCCACGAGGCATAACCGGGCGGTCAAAGGCTTCCCTTGTTGAACGCAGAGCGTCCAGACTACTGCATTGTGCCGCCAAACAGCTGATCGGCACAGCGCAGCAGCCATTTTGATGTAAATGAAGCAGCAATTGTTTAAATCACCACTTCATTTCCCTATTTTTTTAAACCTCATCTACATGGCTCCATCAACGGAGCCATGTAGTCTAGACATACCCTAGGTGTCTGTTGAGAACAGACAAAACAGTGTAATATCTGAGTGTGAATTATGAGGTGCATGGATTAGTTAAGCCCAAAATGATCAAAGTTATGCTATTGTAGCATCTTTGAAAAAATACATGCTTTATTGCACTGGGATATTGAGATTGGGCCTTATTTAACTCTCACTGAAGCAAAAAATCAATGGCAAAATGCTCATTAACTGCAGTTGGAGCAGGATTAGATCTGCTGTGCAAGAGATTTTGCTCCCAATTTATCTTAACTCATATAGGTCTGTGCCATAATTCTTCCCTAGTTTTCTTTATTTCACATTGTAAATGGTCATTATATTTGGCAGGCCTCAAATGGGGTGCTCAAGGACCCAGAAGGGTAGCTAGATTGGCCGTAATGTCTTGCGGACAATTACCTTTATGTTTGAGCTGCAACAAGTCACCAGCATTTTTTTTACAAAGCCACCATTGACTAAAGGATGGCTTTTTTAAGTCCTTGATGGTCAAAATATTTTCACAGTACAAAAGTTCTAGTATTATAACAGTCATCAGTGTATTTTTATCTATCAGGGTCAAAACTTGTCTGACAATCTTGCCCTTCATTCATGTTGAAACGGCACCAAGGAAATGACAATCATAAACTAAGAGGACAATACATACAGTATATTCTTTCAAAACACAATTATTTATACAATGCAGACTCACTTACTAGAGCTTTGAACTACTATGTCGATCTATTTCATGCAGTACTCCTAACAGTGTCCCTTGCCTTGTGAATTCAGTCATTTTCTCTACAAGAAAGCAAGGTATTTAAAGCAGGTGTGATATTGTCAGCTGCTTATAGTTCATTTCCCATTATGACCTCAAGAGGAAGGATTTTTTTTTGGCACTGCTTTTTTTTCTGAAGTTTTGAGTGCTTCGTGTGGTAATGTTAACATTGTTCTTTCATGATAGGATTTGTGTGTGTGTGTGTGTGTGTGTGTGTGTGTGTGTGTGTGTGTGTGTGAAATAAATATATAATAGAAACTCAATCTTAACTATGGAACTACAGACTAGTGGATGCATAAAAATAATAAAAAAACAGATGGCAACATTTTCCTGAGAAAAAATGTGAAGAAACTTTCCAGGCATTACAAATGGAAGGCCTCTATTCCCTAACAGACAAACAGATATGTTACTTTTGAGAGATCCCAAACCCCTGAGGGTTAGAGTCAGGTTCTGGAACCAGATTTATAGTGTAAGAACAGATGTCATTGTTTGTTTGCGCCATAACATCTTTCACCCAAGATGTCCCTACAAGATAAATTGTTCACCAGATTGCAATAAAACGTCCAACAAATTAATTGTTAGAAGCCTTTGAAAAATAAAGCACACACAAATGATCGGAGACAATCCTTTCCCCATCTTTTTAATTTGTTTTGGGCATTGATTTGAGTGTTCATAGGAAGTAAAAGCACTATCCAGAGATTACAAGAATGAGATCTGCCGTGTAGGAACCCTGCTGTTCCAGAGTGGAGCTGTTCTAGGTGAAGTATAAAGCTCAGACGATATCAACATGCTTTGTGGTTGTGAAATGAATATATCAGTCTGAAACCACAATATTTATTTAATATAATAAAAACTGAAACTTAACTATGGGACTGTAGACTTCCATAACAATAATCAAAAAACAGATGGCAACACTTTTCCTGAATAAAAATGTGAAGAAACTTTCCAGGCAGTACATATAGAAGACCTTTATTTTCTAACAGACGCAGGCCACAGCTGAAATCTTCAGAAATAAAAATAAATATTAACAGTATTAAACTCCACCTTCTCTTTCTACTTTACATACTACTAACATATATAACATGGCACAATGATACAAAAATAATCAATAATACTACATTTTATACTAAGCCAATGAGATTAAGTGTATCTCTTTGTGCCACAGAGACATCATTTTGAAATTGTTTTGATTAACACCATTGGCTCCTTTTTTTGTTATGACTATTCATGCATGCATGATGGATGTCTCTTCATATACCAGTGACAAGCATTAATACTAGCTTTATTCTAGACTAAGAAAACACTGCAGGTACAAATTTAAAAAACTTTTCACAGCCCATTATTTTTATGGGAGACAATGGGATAACAGTTCCTTTTCCCAGTGGAAATCTGAAGATGGGACAAGAATCTGTAGGCTTTGACAAACGAATCACAACCAAAGACAAAGACAAAGTCTGCTATTGATTTAGATTAATAATAGTGGTAGTACTACTACTAATAATAGAAATAATCCATATGGAAAGAATAATGTATCTATATGGATATTATAATTGAAGATGTTCTCCACACACACAACTAAGACAGGAAATGATTATTAGAGGAAAAGCTTTCATTTTCAAGAAATTACTGAACATCCACAATTACTCTTGAAACTAGTGGGTGTTACAAGTAAATATTAAGCCAGAAATGTATTGAAATCCCAGTTTACCTTTCTCTCAGGTTTTTAATAGTTTGTTCTTAAATCAGGAAGTTACACGATTTCAACTTTCGCCTTCAAATATTATTAAGGGAAACAGATGTTATCAACAGCATTTAAAGAAGAATTAGGTTCTGCTTTTCTCAAAGTACTAGCTAAGTCTCTGAGCCCAAAGTTTTACAATGAGTTCTGTATAAGAGAAATAGTATTTTTAAACTTTCCTATTGATTTTTTCCCATGTATACATGAGTCCTTCTGTTTTCTTTGCTTGAAAATGATTGGTATAATTTGGTGTCAAGGTGGTCTAATTTTATTGTGAAGCCTTTTGGAAATGTCTGGTAAACAAATGTTCATTGACACTTCCCTCAAATCTCAGTTGAAGAGGTGGGTTTTGCCCACGAAAGCTTATGATACCATATATATAGTTAGCCTCCAAAGTGCCACAGGACAACTTGTTTTTAAAGTTCCAGACTAACATGGCTACCCCTCTGAGTCCCTCAAATAAGGTTGCTCATGGTTAACTTGATGGACCAAATTAAGGACCAAAGTATATCAAAGACTCATATCTTGCCTAATAAAACAGGCTAGTCATGGTAGATTCTTCATAGGAAACTTAGCTGATGAAATACAATATGGACTAAAAGGTACTGTCTAAAAAAGTGGATTGTAATCTTTGTCTGAACCCTGCCTCTCAACTTCCAAGTGCCCCTCTGCAGGTCTAGCTGGAGTGGTATCTTCACCGATTTGAATTTCATAGAATACTAAAGTTCTCTTGCACAAAGTTGCACACTTTCCCATGCCTGAGTCAGAGGCATCTTGAAAGTGGACAGTGTATGTGAATCACTGAAACAGTGCTGAAAATTAATACACATCACAACCCTTGAAAATCCATGGGAAGCTTTCTACTTATGTCAATGGGTTTTGGATCAGGCCCATAGAGCATCCATTGTCGGGAAGCTCTCAAAGGAAATTTTCAATTATTTAGCATATAATACCTATCTATTTTGGGGCTATTTCCTTATGCATGAAGGTTAAGACCCCTGAGGCCTGAAATCTATTGTTAATCCATGGAGGGCCAATTGAGGTCAGAGTTTTGTCATTCATTTCAAAGATGAAAAGGTTGGGCCCAGAAGCAATACAGGAATATACAATTCTAATTAATAAGTTAATATATCTTGCATTGTAGTCCATGACAAAATCTCCCTTCTGATGAGCTCATGCAGCTTCTACTAGAGCTATATGTGCCTACATCCAACAGTACAATCTGGCCCTTAAACAGTACATAAAACGCTTCTCATCTTGATGACATTTTTTGCCAATGTTACCGAATTTGCTGATTTATTTTAAAGTGGGGGCATACTGTTAGCTCTTGCTCTTTTTTAATTTAAATTTTACTGAAATACTTTTGTCATGGGAAAGATTTAACCTGAATTTTCTATTCAGTTTAAAGCAAATAAGAAGTTGCCCAACTCTCATAAAAAATCAATGAGCCTTTTTGAAAATCCCAGTCTCTTCACCATGTTGTTCATATCAGATACTGTAATCACAGCAGGATGCAACATAGCTTATGTGTAGATTCTTAAAATGTAAGAGAAACCCAAACAGGGAGATAAAATTTTAAATAATAAATTTTACTAGCTTTCTTTGTGGAGGCTTTGAATGTTTTCTAATGATTTAAATGCAAAACCTCAACTCAGCCTTAACTACAAACCCACAACTGGCACATTCATAATTTAAAGTAGTCAAGATTGAAACAAAAAAGTTGAGTGCTTTTCAAACCACATTTAATCATGCAACAGTGCAAGAAATGACAATTTTTCAGGATTTTCAAAATGTCTCCATTAGTTAAATAATAAGCTAAATAATTGAAATACATTTGGTATCTTGATAGATATTAACATATAACTCTGAGTCTCATTTCAAAGTGTATTCACCATTTTCTTGTGGACTTTCAGTATAGTGATAAGGGAAAAGCTATAATCTAATATCCAAGAGTCCTTGGCTCCTTGTAAGTGTGATGATGGTAATTGGAAGGAGCACATTGAAGCAGTGGAGGCATATTACGATTTAATTACTTGCATGTGCAAATCAAAGGGCACTGGAAAAAATGTTCCTTGTGTGTTATGGTGAAACAGTGACAAAGCAGATGTGGCATTTGCCATGCTCAATACTATTAGTTGAGATGGTTCATAGAAGGTGGTGCTTTCAGCTGCTTTTGTCCACTGCAAAACTATGTATCTTGGTATATATTACATCAAAGTGGCATCTATATTGATATCACAAGACAATCAAGCTTTTAAAATTGTTGTAACATGTCTCCTGTAAAGAAGGAATGACAAAGGTGATCTGGGTGCATATGACAATGGTTATGGCATGGCTGGGGACTATTCCTTAGCATTTGTGCTAGTCTGTAAGGGCTACAGCATTGGGCCTTATGACCCCAATCAAACAAAGCACATACTTTCAAAAGGACTGTTCATATGCTTGTTGTAAAGCATGCACTTAAAAGCATCAGGGTAAGATTTTATATGGGACAGGAAGGGCAGATTATCCTGCATTTGTCTACTTACAGGATTCTGATACCTTCTTCTGATTCATCTGGTCGCTGCTGGCAACAGAACACTGGAATACATGTGTAGACAATAGAGTTTTATAATGTTTTATGTGATGTAACTAAATGGGTAATGTGAAAATGTATGTTAAACAACTATAACTCTGCCAGCCACTTTCTCTGGTTAGTAGGGAAGAACAGTCTATTAGACCAGTGTTTCTCAAAGTGGTCCATGAAACCACTTTGAGAAACGTGCTAACTGGCCGCTCTGCTGTGTTCATTTACAGGCACTGTGGCCATGGAGCCTCATGGCTTCCATTGGCTCCGGTTCATCGTTTGCAGCTAGGGGGAGCTGCGGGAAGCAATGTGGGCCAAACCACCCCTTCCTGCATCTTCTCTTGGCTGCAAAGCAGTGGCCCAGCCCATGCTGCTTCTTGCAGCTCCCCTCGGCTGCAAACAGTGAACTGGAGTCAATGGGAGCCATGAGATTCCGTGGCTGCGGTGCTAATAAATAAACACGTTGGGGGGCCAATTAGCAAGTTTCTCAAAGTGGTTTTGTGGACCACTTCGGGAAACACCGTTTTAAGCCATTGGTAAAGATGCATCAAGCAGACTTGAATGTGTCTGTATCTGATGTCAAAGCAGAGAGAGATCAGAAGGATCCTTGTGATTCTTCATGATCACACTGTTGATTACAAGTTTGTATTAATAGAAGCTTTGCATTGGAAATAGATTGACACCTTTTGTATGGACAATTATATCCCT